ATTCAGTAAAGAAAATACTTAACATAGGCCAACAATTGTCAATTGATCCTAATTTAGTTAGAATTGTTACATCGCCTGCATATTTTATCCAATTCAGAGCTTCTTCCATTGCCAAGATTTTCTGTTTCAAAAGAGAAATGAAGAATGGGGATTTGGTTATTAATTCTAAATTTGCATGTGGCATTATAAAGTCATCTTATGCAAGTATTTCAGATCCTTAATACAAAACTGGTGCAACCACTTATTTTTTGCTACTCCGGCACGTAACCTAGAGTAGACAGACTCTGACATGTAAATTAACAGATACCATGGACTCACATATGCTACCTCTTCGGGAGACCTCAGACCACCCTCAGAGCTCAAGATGCTTCTGCAATTATTACAGACCTGGAATTTGAGGTCTACAACCTGGCCAGACTGCCTGGGGTAGCAGGCGAGTGCAATATAACAAGGTGGATGAGGGTTCTCAGATCTCATCTACACAAAGACCTCCATCCTTACCCCAAGGTTAAATTTATAGATTAAAGTTCTCCAGAGGAACTCCGTATTTTACGTGGTCTGTGACAAACAGAAGAATAAGGAGATAAAGAACAAGGGGAAGATGTGTCTGGGCAAATGGGCACTCAGTACAGTGATCTCCATGAAGGATCAAGAATTCACAGAAACGTTATTTGTACTTCTAGCGTCTAAAGTAACTTCAAAAATTAAAGTTAACAATGGGCTTAAGGTAAACATACATGTTTATGGCATCAGTATAATTAAAAATTGGTTTAACATTGAATCTGGAGATTACCTAGTAATTACATATCAAAAAATATTCATACCAGAGGCCTAATAATTTCATTTGGGGAAACATAAGCCAGGTAAATAATCTAAAAGAGAAAAAGAATCAACTTGTAAAATAGGCTCAAAATTACACTATGTACATGGGTTAAAAAAAAAGATCCAAACCCCCAAAATGAGGAGTCTGCTTAAGGAAAATATAGAAGTCAATACTACCAAACCCCACATATAGAACATTGAGCGTATGGACTCAATACAAGGGGAAATGAGCAGTGAGGTAACTGCCACTCATCCACAGTGGCTGTGCCAGGTTCTGTGTTTAACCACTTACATTTTCTATTTTACAACCAATTCTCAATAAGCCTCCAATGAGGAACGAATCATTCTGAAAAATAAAAAAAGGACATATTTTTTCCTTATTCAGTCAATTCTACTTGAATTTGCTAATGGAAAAATGGCCTACATTTTAGTAACACTACTATACGTACACAATAGTACACTTCCAACAAGCATTTACATGACCAAGTTACCCCTTAAGACCCTAAGACAAGAAATTCCAAAATAGTCTCCCATAGGGTTCTAGTAGTAAAATAACTTAGTGTAATCTTTAGACATGCGAGTTTTTTTTTTTTTTTCCAGACAGGGTCTCACTGTATCACCCAGGCTGGAGTGCAGTGGCGCAATCTTAGCTCACCACAACCTCCGCCTCCCAGGCTCAAGCGATTCTCCTGCCTCAGTCTCCCAAGTAACTGGGATTACAGGCACATGCCACTACCACCCAGCTTATTTCTGTATTTTTAGTAGAGGCGAGGTTTCAACATGTTGGCCAGGCTGGTCTCAAATTCCTGACCTCAAATGATCCACCTGCCTCAGCCTCCCAAAGTGCTGGGATTACAGACAAGAGCCACCGTGACCAGCCAACATGAATTTTCAAAGTTCATTGCACTAGGCCAGGCGTGGTGGCTCACACTAGGCCAGGCGTGGTGGCTAACATTTGTATGTTACTGCAAATAACTACTGCAGAAAATAAACATCAGAATGCCCTTTCTAAATTTAATAGTACCAAGAACAACACTTGACTCCATAACCAACTGAAATTTAAAAAGCTATCCAACAGCTTTCAAAAAAAATTTTAAAACCACAAAAACTCTCAACTTATCTCAACAGTGTAAGGAAGGACACCTCCTCAAATCTGCCCTGATAAAGTCTACCTACCCAAAGACAAAATATTTGTTGATGGTGATGTGACTTTATATCAACAGATAGGGCACATCACTTTCAGAACCGGTGGCAAAGGTTTCTATGAACCCATGCACCACTTTCTGTGACAAGTTCCAACTTCTATCCTTTAATGACAAGATGCAGTCCTGGGCCCCAGCGTAGAACCATGACAGCAACCATCTCACTGATCTCTCAAATACTGAGCACGCACTGATGGATAGCAGATTCATCTCAGGTTAACCAAAACTAAAACCATTACCTGTTAATTGCTATAAATTAGTCCTATGAGTCTAACACCATATAAATGTTTATTATTTAAACCAAGGGCTCAGGGGGAACCTACATTCTACCACTTACAGCAACTTTCTTTGCCAAATCCACAATATCTTCCATCAACTCAAGATGTTGTAATTTCTTCAAACTTATCTCAGAAGCACGTGAATTGCTTAAAGACAAATTTATTTTTTAAAAGATTAGATTATCATATATACAAATTCATTGAACTTCATGCTTAGCTATGTATCTCAAACCATTAAAAAAATAAGTTCTCTTTTTCTTCACTCTAGGTAGCAATAACTAAGCTATTTATTCAATGAACAAAATACTGTATCTTTTTCCTCTCTTCTGTACTATAACACTGATACTTATAAACAAACATGTTAATTCTTCCTGACTCAACTTCTAGTCTACCATCTAGTACTATTCAGAATTTCACTGATTATGTTACAATTATTCATTCATATCCAAATCTCAAGCTTTGTTTTTTCCACCCTATTAGATAAAAATTGAGCAGCATACGAGAATAAGACATAAGTCTTCCAGTGAACTTGCATTCCTTTGTATTGGGTAACATGCTTATCACTGCCCATACAAAATGAGTAACATATAGTAACTTACTTGGCGTCCACACAGGGATGCAATCGTGATATTACAGAACTGTTTTGATGTTGAAACAGAAGTGGCCAGAAGATGTTTATTTTAATGGCATCACAATAATCTTGCAGGACAGAAATTGGTTTACTACACCATATACTGCAGATGTCAAATTCTTAATTTAAAAAAAAGTTTAAAATTAATGTTTGTGCCTCATTTTTTAATGAATCAACACTGTTAATAGTAAAAAGGCAAAAATGGATATGGAGAGGGAAGAAATGAATGAAGTATTTTAGCCTGTTAAATGTTAAGAATATTTAAGTGCTGGCTAAAACTCTATTTTAACAAAGAAAAGTTCTGATTTCTAGTGAAAAACTAGTAAGAATACATTTTTAAAAGGCATAGAAATCTGTTGTATTGTTATGACAGGATGGGTGGACCTCCCTTTATAGTATTTCCATATATTAACATTAAAAATACCAATGTACTCACCTAAATTCCTCTCACTTTGGATATAATCTTTATATTGCACACCCTAAAAAGAAGAAAATTATTTTTATTTGTGTCTAATAAAATGGTAAAGTACAGTTCTTGATTTTTGATCTAAGGATTACCAGAACTAACCAAAGAACTTTCAGTGGACATTTATTTATATGCTTCAAACACATCTTCAGCCAATGAGGCTTAATTTGAGACCCTTTTTACAGTATTTCCTGAGTTTGCTTCTATGGCTCTCCCCAAGAGCTTTTCTAATTCCCTGTCAGAAAACCACCTTTTGCCACCACTTGTCTTCTGGCATTCCACAATCTTATTTTTGACCCAGTGCTTACTTTCCCTTCTCAAATCAACTTTTCAACAGCACGTGTACCTCCCTCTCAAAATGCACATACCACAAAAACATCTTTACTCAGAGAGCCCTAAACCAGAAAACCTTCAGTACACAATGTCAAAAATGAAAAATTAGCAAACCTACTTACCACCCCATCACAGTAAAGCTGAGTCACGCGAACATAATCATTGCTCATAAATTCAGCAGCAAAGACACAATCGTCCACGTAAGGGCAATCTTCTAACAAGGCATAATCTGTCACAGTGAAATCTCCCTCAGCAAAATTGTCCATGATGCACAAGTCTAAGGAGACAACACAAACTCAAGTCAGTAATTAAATCAATTGAGATGATAGAAGAAAGTTTTCCTGGCTTCTATGGTATATTAGAAAAATACTTGGAACCTATGTCCCAAGGAAATAACTTCTATCAGAACACTGAGCTCCGAAAGATTCTCGTCCCCATTCTGCTGACTTTTCCCCTGACTCTCTCCAGATAATTTAATCTATTTCTTCCTTTCCTTAGGTTCACATATTCACCATCTCTACTCTAAGTTAATCTGTTTACATGTCTCCTTTAAATGGAGGATCACTAAGGGCATCTTATCTATCTTTGTATGTGCCTAGCACATGGTAAGCTCTCAAATAAGTGTTTGCTGAATGAAGAAAAGACATCTTCCCATTGCTGCACTTGTACCCTACCTGCTTTTACTGCATTCTGAGAAATGCGCCATTTCATCATACACAAACTGTTATATTCTCAACCTCAACTAAATCCTGACTCCGCTGAGAACTTTCCTATCAACTGCTCATATTTTCCTACTCATCTCGCAGTGTGTTTCTATCTTGGGCAAAGGAGTAGGGCTAGAGTGGTACAGGGGAAGTCTGCCAATCTCCTAACTCCTTAAGGCAGCATCCAGACCTTCCATCCTCCTATCGACTGCTGCTTCTAACGCTCTCACAACTACTGCAATACACAATCAGCACTGCTAAATTGCAAAAAGGAAAAAACCCTCACATTATCAAAAGCCATGTTTTAAAAATACTTATTTCAATGGGGGACCAAGGGGGTTAGTGCTAAAGTTTCAGACTAAGGGTTTTTTTTTTTTTTTCCTGAAGAAACTTCAATAATAAGGATTTTTATAGTTATCAGAGAATAGCTACATAGGCTAAACATCACTGAAAAATGCACCATTTTATTACTTCTAGCTCTTGCTCATATAATGGCTTTCTTTTCCTATCATCACCAGCACATCATTAACACTATTCCTTGTACCTCTCACTTCACCATTATTATCCTACTATTGTTAGGATAAACCAAGTTTCTTCTTTCCAAAGCAAGACCACCACCAGTCCTTGAAATACAAATCTATTTATTTAATCAATCCATCTCATGATGTCCAAATTGCTATATGAAAACTTCACAATCTCACAAGTGAAGAATAATAACAATCTTCCTAGCAAATTATTTGTACTATGTGTCACACACTGTACCAAATGTTTTACATGCATAATTTCACTAATCCTCAAGCAGTTCTTCTTAGCAGGCACAATTATCATCATCTCCACAGTAAAGATGGGAAAATGCTCACTTAAATCAAGTAATTTGCTCATGTCACCAAGCTGGGAAGGATTCAAATCCAGTCTTTAGTTGCCATAGCTTCTGTTCTCAAACACTCTCTTTTACTACATCTACTTTTCCTGTCATTGTCACCTATTTATCTCTTGGTTACTGTAATGTTTCAAGATCACTGGCAACTAGTTCACAGTGTTTTTCTCTTTCCTCCAAATTCTGTCATCATCCCAGCCACATCGAGGTCCATGCACACAATATTCTAGCCTTGTAGTTAAACAACCTCCTCAACTAACATGAACTTCACTGCCTACCTCACTAGGCTCTCCCACCCGAGAGTGACACCTCAGATCACCACCTGGGTCAAAACCAGTTGTAAAACTTTTTATTAACTCCTCTCTGATCATAGCCAAGAATCATTATGGCTCATGTCTTCCTGATTTCCTACCACAGCCATTCTTCAACTTCATCAAGAACTCTTCATTTTTCACCCATCTGAATCCTCCTTCTCATTCACTTTCGGTCTCCTACAAATTGGTTTCCACTTCGACCATTCAAGGGAAACTGCTTTCATGAAGATCACTAATGACCTTCCACAAAAGACTGCTCATCTATAATGTCTAGAACCTGACCTATTTTGCATGAATATTTCTAGAGTTTAAAAAAATCTAGAACCATGACCAGAAAACATAAGATACTGGATGGAGCACCCAAACTATAGCACATGATGTGAGGTATATGCTAAACTCACTTGTCTTACAAATTTTTTTGGCATAAAATACAGAAAGAGCCAAGAACTGTCACAGCCCACACATCATGGCGTCAATTACAATACAATTAATGCGCTCATACCTGGCAGACTGATACTGGTCATTCAAGTCTGGCAAATCTCACTGGTAACACACACAGCACCAATTGTACCGTAATTACGACACTGGGGTAAATTTTATTTTCTATTTTTTGTTTGTTTGTTTGTTTGTTTGTTTGTTTGAGACGGAGTCTCACTCTGTCACCCAGGCTGGAATGCACTGGCACGATCTTGGCTCACTGCAACCTCCACTTCCCGGGTTCAAGCGATTTTCCTGCCTCAGCCTCCCAAGTAGCTGGGATTATAGGCGCCCACCACCACGCCAGGCTAATTTTTGTATTTTTAGTAGAGACAGGATTTCACCATATTGGCCAGGCTGGTCTTGAACTCCTGACCTTGTGATCCACCCGCCTCGGCCTCCCAAAGTGCTGGGATTACAGGCGTAAGCCACCACACCCGGCCTTGTATTTTAACTAGAGAGGCAATGTGACAAAGTGGTTAAGAACATGGACTCTGTAGCCAAGACTCTCGGCTTGAATCCTGGCTCTCTTGTTTCCTTGGGTGTGTGATATTGGGCAAGTTACTTAACCTCTCTGTGCTTCTTCTGTGTTTCCTCGCATATCAAATGGGGATAACGATATTACCTACCTGATCAATCAGTTAATACATGTCAAGTGCTTTGAAGAGTACCAGGTATATGGGAAATGCTATAAATACCAGCTATTATTAACATTAACGTTAGATGAGTATTTTTAAAATCCACTGTTTGGATGCTTCCAGCTAAATAGTCTACCTTAATTGCTAAATCCAAAGAGCACTTTTCAGCTTACAACTTACTTGACACTGTGGACCACTTCCTCCTCAGAACTCTTCATTTGGACTCCAAAGACCATCTTCTCCTGGTTTTCCTCCTATTCGTCTGGCTGCTCTTCCTCAGTTTCCTTCATGGGCTCTTCTTCTCCATTCCCCGCCACCCAATGTCAACTCTCTTTTCTTCTCACTCTTACTCTCTCCTTGGGTGAATTTATCCACCACACCCATGACTTAACACAGCACTTTCTGAACTTGCATCGTTTGCATAGCTTCATCATGATTTTTGCCATTTCCATGTATCACATATACTTTTAGTTAATATTTCCCTTTTATTGAGCTCGCTTGGCCTAAGTGATGATGTCCATGATTATCAAAGGTTAGATGTGCAAGTTATGTTTCTCATACACATTAAATTCCTATCTATTAAAATTTTTTCAAGTGTTTATCTATGTACCCAGTTTAAATTATCTCATATGCACTACAGTAAACAATGGCTTCCAAACTTCCAAGTGCTGAAGACTCCCAAATCCTTCCAGGCGAGGTTGTATCTTTTGATTTCTAGACCCTACTAGAACTACAACAGGATCTTAACCAAGATGTCCCACAAGCCCCTCTGAATCAGTAAGTTCAAAAACAAACATCTTTTCCTCAAAAACAAACATATGAAACCAAGTTCTTTCCTCTTTCTGTATGTTGTTTATCAGTTAATTGTTCCACATGCCATTTTACTACCCAAACCTACACCCTGGGAGTCAACCTAGTCTCCTCATTCTCCTTCAACATTTCTGTCCAACTGACCACAAACTCTTGTCATTTCTGCTTCCCTAAGAAATCTAAAATTAGCACACATATACTTCTTCACGCCCAGTGCCACTGCCTTTACTGTTTCTCCTCTGAACTAATTTAACAAGCAGTCTCCTAACTGGTCAGGCTTGCCTTCAATCTTGGCACCCTCTAAAACTCTGATCATGTCACTGTACTGCTTAAAACCATGCAACAGCTTCCCTTCAGCTTGAAAATAAAGTCTAAGTTCCCTAATATAAGCATAGAAGGCCTTTTGTGATCTTGCTTCTGCTTTTATCCCCAGTCACTCCACAACACACAACCTAGAAGCCAGTCATACCCCAGTCCTTCCCAAACAAAACTTATTCTGTAACCACCTAATGCTATCAGTTCTTAATACCCAATTCCAGGAAGCATTTCCTGATCTTCCCACTACGATCAAGCTGATTTTTGCACCTCTTCTCTATAAACAAGAGCACCCTACCCATGTCTCTGACAGCAGTTTTCACACTGTTTGACCATCACAGGTTTACCTCTGTAGGGTCACTATGGATCTAGAGGATATACTGTGCAATCCACTTGTCATCTGTACTGCTATTTACTTAATAGTTTTCTTTAGGATAACTCAAATCTTAACTTAGATGCAAACTAGTTTTAATAGAAATGTTGATATCACCAAGAAAGCTTGTTTGGTACCATAAAATTTTTTCTAATACAAACAAAAATATACTACTAAAATTAAACATTAAAATAAAGAGCTTCTGACCCCATCAGTTATGGTGAACTGGTGAACTAGACACTCTGGGGGAATGTACTATTGGGAGGAAAAAGGTAGATCCTAGATTTTTAAAAAAAAAAACAACACTTTTTGGATGATTTTGCTGAGACCATAGAAATGGGGGAACATCTGAAGCCACCCTCTCCATGCAAAAGCAACAAACCTTGAGCTAGAAATTAAACTTGGCTACAATTTAGTGCTACGAGTGGTGGTACCAAGAGCAGTAGTAGGATCAGGACGCTGAGCTCTGGGCTAGAAGCAAAACGTAGGAACTTAAAAGTGATGCCACCTAAACTTCCTAGCTCCCAGACAAAGCCGATAGAAATGCTTTCAGAAAGAAAGCATCCCCAAATTAGACTCTCAAGATTCCCACAAAGATCAAACAGAAGTTCGTAATCAATGATCACCAAACACATGAGGTGACAGCTACATTGAGGGAGAGACAACAGAAGAAAAAAAAAAGGCAATTAAGTTTAGACATCCCCCTCCCCAAGGATATCAGACATTGGGAATGTCTGATATAGTCTACAGAATAGCTCTAGAGTCATAAAAATCAGCATATAACATAAGAATGTGAAGAATGACTGACCATATCAAAAAAGAACCAAGTAGAACTTTTAGAAATTAAAAACGTAATTGTTAAAAGAAAAAAAAAAGATGGGATGGGTTCTAACCCATCCCAAAAAGATCCTAACAGAGGATATTAGGCACAGTTGAAGAGAAAATTGGTGAACTAAAATATATGCCTTATGAAATTACCCAGCACTGTAAATTCTGGTAAAGAGAAACAAAGAGATAAAAAATATGAAAGACAAAGAATAAATGATCTGGAAACAGTTTAGTGTGTGTATATATATCCAGTTAAAGTTCCAGCAGGAGAGAAGAGATTAATGAGACATAATATTTAAAGAATACAGGGCTCAGAAACTTCTAGATCTCATGAAACACAAAATGCAGAATCATGAAACACATGCATCCAAAATAGGATAAATATAATCTCTATCTAGTCTTAGAAGTGAAATGATGTAACACGAAAGACAGAAAATCCAACGTAACTAAAAGAAAAAGGATATTTTCTTCAAAAATGCATAAATAGGCTGGGCGCAGTGGCTCACGCCTGTAATCCCAGCACTTCAGGAGGCTGAGGCGGGCAGATTTTGAGGTCAACAGATCGAGACCATCCTGGCCAACATGGTGAAACTCTATCTCTACTAAAAATACAAAAATTGGCCAGGCGTAGTGGCAGGCACCAGTAGTCCCACTTACTCGGGAATCTGAGGCAGGACAATCACTTGAACCCGGGAGGCGGAGGTTGCAGTGAGCCGAGATCGCGCCACTGCACTCCAGCCTGGCAACAGAGAAAGACTCCATCTCAAAAAAAAAAGAAAAAGAAAAAAGCATAAATAACACTGGCAGCACACTTTGTATAAGCAACAGTAGACTAGTATTCCTATCCTACTGACAGAAAAGAAACACCAACCTACAACTGTACATCCATCAAAATGATCTGTCAAGAACAAAGGTAAAATAAAAATACTTTTAGATTTTTTTTAATATCTAAAACTGAGTCAACCACCAACCAAGACACTTGGAACTTACCAATTAAAAGACAG